TCTATCTATCTATCTATCTAATCTATATCTATCTATCTATCTATCTAATCTATATCTATCTATCTATCTATCTATCTATCTAATCTATATCTATCTATCCACCTATCTATCTATCTATCTAATCTATATCTATCTATCCACCTATCTATCTATCTATCTATCTAATCTATATCTATCTATCTATCTATCTATCTATCTAATCTATATCTATCTATCCACCTATCTATCTATCTATCTAATCTATATCTATCTATCCACCTATCTATCTATCTATATAATCTATATCTATCTATCCACCTATCTATCTATCTATCTATCTATCTATCTATCTATCTATCTATCCATCTATCTAATCTATATCTATCTATCCACCTATCCACCTATCTATCTATCTATCCGTCTATCTATCTATCTAATCTATATCTATCTATCCACCTATCTATCTATCTATATCTATCTATCTATCCATCTATCTACCTATCTTTCTATCTATCTAATCTATATCTATCTATCCACCTGTCTATCTATCTATCTAATCTATATCTATCTATCCACCTATCTATCTATCTATCTAATCTATATCTATCTATCTATCCATCTATCTACCTATCTTTCTATCCAATATATACTAGAATATTTATATATAAAAGTGCTGAAGATTTGACATATTACTAGAAAGTAACATACAACATAAAAAAGGAGGAGTTTTAGTTTTAATAAGAACTTTACAGAACTTGCAACACAATAAGGTCATAGAAGTGCCGAAGATTAGAGGTGTTACAAGAGAGTAACAAACACAAAAAAGAAAGAGAGGAGAAAAGGACGATAGATGTTTGACATAGGGTTGGGGCGAGCGGACGGACGGGTTCGTTACTCGCAGACTCAGTCAGAGCGAACGGGTAACGGACGGCCATGAGAGCGAACTGCGAACCTCAAGACAGTTCGTTTTTTTGGGTCCGCTCCACAATTTGACTCTCTCAGCGAGCGGACTGCGGACCTCAAGCCTCAAGTCAGTTCGTTTTTTTGGATCCGCTCCACAATTTTATTCACTGGG